GCGCAGTACGCTTAGGAGCGCGAATCGGCTGGAGTGATATCCCGGCCTCAGAGAAAAACAGCGTAAAACAACACTTATGTTGTGTTTCGCCGTGTGAGTGAGGTTACCGGAAGACTAATCCTTCCTCCTCCCCTCTCCAATCCCCAAATCCCCTAACCATAAATCCCTAATAACCCACAGAAATCCGTCTGCTCGTTGGCCAAGCTATCCCACAAAAATATCGAAATTGGTGCAGTAGTTTGCACTTTCCTATGTCGACCCGAAACGCTCTGGACGAAAATCTATTAAAATAAATAGGGACAAAGAAGCAGGGTAAAGCTAGTCTCGCATTTTAATACGATTGCTTAATTAATTAATTGTAAAACGTTAATTAGCGACTGTCCCTATTTTCAGAGAGTTGTTTTTATTAGTCATGTTTAAGATTTTGTTTGTTGGGTTTTACATTACCTATATTAACGTTTCACTGTTGCTATCTAAATTATTTTTTAATATATCTGTGTTGGAGAACCACGCTTCGGCATGAATAGGTCGGCTCAACCGGAATAATACCACGGCCTCTCAAGAAACCGGCGTGAAACAACCAAAGCGTTCTTCGCGTATCTTTACAACTTGTCGCTTGCTCGCTCGACTTATTCAGAGTTCTGGAAATTATCTAGAGTAACTCCTGTGCCCAAGGGCGACGCAGATAATGATGTCGCATCGTTTAGGCCCATTGCAGTATTGTCAGTCTTTGCAAAATTGTTTGAGATCATGTTGTGCTCACGCATCAATAAACAAGTTAAAAATCTCCTACATGATAGCCAGCACGGATTTAGAAACGCTCGTTCAACGACTACAAATCTAGTGGCTCATGTAGACTACATTTATGCTGAAATGGATGCGGGTAGGCAGGTAGATACCGCCTACTTTGATTTTAAAAAGGCTTTTGACTTAGTTGACAATGATATCCTGTTGTATAAGTTGGCAGTATTGGGCTTTTCTCCTGGGTTGCTTAAGTTTTTCTCAAGTTACCTCCGTAATCGACGCCAATTCGTTAAGGTTAGAAATTATGAATCAAATGAATATTACACTCGATCCGGAGTAAGCCAAGGCAGCAGCTTAGGGCCCCTACTTTTCCTAATTTTTATCAATGACCTTCCTGAGCGAGTCAGTCTTTCCCAATGTCTGCTGTTTGCTGATGATCTCAAGCTTAGTCTGGGTGTCGAGACATCGGCAGATTGCGAAGCTCTGCAAAGAGACATAGACGCGGTAGGAGACTGGAGCAGCGAAAACCGTCTTCCATTTAATATCGAGAAATGCAAAACGATCTCTTTCTCACGTAAGCGCCAGCTGATCAATGCAGCTTACACTTTATCCGACGCTACCCTTCAAAGGGTATCAGATATTCGTGACTTGGGACTTTGGGGATCTATTGGACTCTAGACTTCATGACTTTCATGACCATGTGACGGCAATATGCAAAAAGGCAAACAAAATGCTTGGATTTGTCATGCGTACATCATCCGAGTTTAATAATTTAGGAGTTGCTACTGTTCTCTATAATGCCTACATACGTAGCAAACTTGAGTATGGTGGCATAGTCTGGGCTCCATCTGAGGAAAAATACAATATTATGCTTGAAAGGGTACAACGTAAATTCGCTCGTTGGTTATATAAGAAAAGGTATGGCTACTATCCTTACTTATACCCTTCCTCTTTTGTAGCTGGTAAGGTGGATCTGGAGACCCTCAAGTTCAGGAGGGTGGTGCAAACAATATTGCACTATCTGTCAATAGTGCACCATAAAGTAGACAACCCTATAGTACTAGGCATGGTGAGGTTACTTGTTCCGAAACGACTGTCATGGAATGAGCAAGGGACAGTTGCGCCGAGGCGTCGGCCTCGCCTTTTGTGGTGGCCTCAAACGCGCACCAACTATGCGTTGCATGCACCGACTGTTCGGGCACTGGGCCTTATTGAGGATATGATCGCTCGTGACAATGATATCGACATATTTGCTGACCACTTTAAAATGCTATGTGCTAAAACCGAAATATTTGTCAATAATTATCTAATGTAATTTTATAATGATGTACTTTTGACCTGTGTGTGTGACTTCTACTATTGAGATATTGACTTTTTTTATTTCTAGATTTTACTTCTGATATTTCGGACTAATTAATTATTTTGACATGTATTGTAAATATTTGACACTTATTATTGGATCTTGATGTTGTATTTTGTATTGTATTGTTATTGTTTTTAATTTTTTTCTTGTTTTAATAATTGATGTGCTTTATATTTTAATTAATTGGCTTGCTGGCGTTATGGTGCTCACTGTGAGCCAGTAAGTGCATGTTTAAATAAATAAATAAATAAATAAATAAAAGCGTTGTGTTTCGCCATGTGTGTGAAGTCACCGGAGGCCCATAGAGAGATCTTCGATTTTCTGATATTGATAAACAGGTCTTAACTTCTTTTTCCTATAAAATGGCTACTCATATTTTTCATAAATAGGTACAATTCTAAATCAAAGTAAAATTTCCAATAATAATACGTTATTACACATACAATGGTTGTCAGGCAAGTGAACGGTGACATTGAGTTTATTTTATACGTGCCGAGTTGCCTATGCATTTTATAATAATTAAGTGTTTTACACCTATCTTCTATTTAATTAAAACAGGCGTTTAGCCTAATCAAATACTTTGCCCCAAATTAGGATCTTTTTCTGTGTCTTGTTGTTCACAAACATACAAATCGCATTCAGACCCGGGAGAACAATTTGTAGATCACACAAAGAGTTGTTCTGTGCGGGAATCGATGCTTGCATTGTATAGCAGCCAGTTGCCCAGCCACCGCGCCCAGTTTTCGAAGAGTATTTTCTCTGATTAGCTGTTGTGTGCTATTAAAACTGGTCTAAGAGCAAATAAATTGGACTGTAATTTCTTTTTAACATGGTTGATTTTGCTAGTTATTTTAAATTACATTGGAGGTGTAATTACTGAAGTGTTGGAGAACCATGTTTCGGCACGAATGGTTCGACGCGCAATTGCAATTTTTCTGGCGTTACGGAGCTCCATGGGCGGTTACCTACCAAAAAAAAAAAACAATATTTCGACGACATCACAAATATTTTCATTTGTAGTCAAATCAAATCAAATCAAATCATTTATTCCAACTAAACCATAAATAGGTACTTTTGAAACGTCAAAATAGAACAGTAGTCTGTCAGTCTGTTCGTCAGTGAAGCTAGGTGCTCGTTCCAAATTGTAGTTTCGAATGGAGAAAAACGAGCAAGAAACTCCATCGTTACTCTTTTTAAAAAAATATTTGTTTTACAATTCACCAATAATACATGATTTATACATTACTGTACCCCTATGTGAGAACAAAATAGTGTAAATAGTACTAAGGAAATATTTATTTAGTAATCGGAATGAAACAAATTATACTTGATAACAGGTCAAAGTTTCAAATTAATATGGTAGTTTCAAACTAGTAAAATTCAATACTTTTATCTAAATGTCAAAAACGATACTTTTCTACAAAATTTGTATAAAACTCCAACTTATGACGTCTTCGTATTTTTGCGTCAAATAGCTTACGTATTTTTTTTTTTTATGTAATAGGTCGGCAAACGAGCAGACGGATTACCTGATGGTAAGCAATCAGCGCCGCCCATGGACACTCGCAACGGAGGAGTTACGAGTGCGTTGCCGACCTTTTAGGGATTAGGGATTTGGAGATTTAGGGATTGAGGAGGGATTGGGGAAGGGGAAGGATTGGGCCTCCGGTAACCTCACTCACACGGCGAAACACAACGCAGTGGTTATTTCACGCCGGTTTTCTGTGAGGCCGTGGTATCACTCCGGTCGAGCCGACCCATTCGTGCCGAAGCATGGCTCTTTTCTTAAAAAATAATCGAAAATTTTGTATATCGATCGATCGATGAATAAAAGCATTATTATTTTTCAATATTTTATTGTATTGAAACGTCGAATTAATTTATTTTTGACTAAGTACCCGTTTAGTTATTTGTCTTTTAATAAAAGTTTAGTTACTTTTCAATATTTTATTTTATTAATACGAAATAATTCAAATCAAATCAAATCAAATTCTTTATTTCAAATAGACCGCAAAAGGCACTTTTGAACGTCAAGCAAAAAAGATATCCTAAGGTTTAACTTTATATGTGTCAGTCTGTCCGTCTGTCCTCAAGTGAAGCTATTTGCTCGTTCCAAAGTGTAGATTCCTATGGAGAAGAACGAGCAAGAAACTCCATGGTTACTCTGTACTTAACGTAATTTATATTTAATCTAGGAAACTACCCAATTGATTTTGTAATCATCATCATTATCATGACAAAGGCCTCCTTAACCTTCTACAGCGAATGACAAGTTGCCACCTGCATCCACTGGCTCCCCGCGACTCTGTCGATGTCGTCGGTCCAATTAGCGGGGGACCTGGCCACACTACGTACATCTTTGGTCACCACTCGAGTACTTTTCAGCCCTTTCGGCCTCGAATTCCGTCCGAATTGCCACTTTAGCCTGCAGATTTTAACAGCTACGTCGGTAACTTTGGTTCTTTGGTGAACTTCTATATTTCGGATTTTGTCGCTCAAAGAGACCCCGAGCATAGTCCGTGTCATCCGATTTTGTAATATACCTAATAAAGATAAAATTCTTGTGTGTGTGAGATATCTATACTAATATTATAAAGGTGTAAAATTTGTAAGTTTGTATGTAGGGGGTAATCTTTGGAACCGCTGATCGGATTGCCAAAATTCTTCACTGATAGATAGCTACAATATTCCTGAGTGCTATAGGCTATAAAACATCACGCTACGATTAAATGGAGCAGAGCAGCGGGTGAAACCACGCGAGAGTAGCTAGTTTTTTTATAATTTACTTACACCTTTTTTAAAGCGTTGAAACGTCAAAATAGTTCGACTAAGTTTAACACCCAAATATTAATGTGAGACAAAAGAAAACACAGGAGAACACAACAAGACAGCTTTTATTATAGCATCAGGTCTGCCTATAGTAATGCGGCGCCAGTTCCAGTAGCCAGGCTTGTTGCACCGTCGTCACGTCACGCATGTACGTCACGCCACACGAACTCGACACGCTCGCGAATATTACCCTAAGGACAAAACATTAATAAATATAGGATAAAAATGTGGATGAGCAATGCTTTGGCATGAATCGGTCGACTTGACCGGAGTGATACCACGGCCTCACAAAAACCGGCGTGAAACAACCACAGCGTTGTGTTTCGCCGTATGAGTGAGGTTACCGGAGGCCCAATCCCTCCTGGTCCCCCCATCCCTTCCCAATCCTTTAATAATCGAAAGCCTTATCATCGGTGACTCAGAGGACATCGGTGTCCTCATAGAGGAGTTCGATCCATTGTATATTTTTTATGAGGTAGGTCGGCAAACGAGCATTCGGATTACCTGATGGTAAGCAATTACCAACACAACACCAAAGGATTTACGAGTGCGTTGCCGGCCTTTTGGAGGTTCAAGTTTCGGAAATTTAGGGATTGGGGGAGGAGAAAAAGGATTGCACCTCCGGTAACCTCACTCACACAACGAAACACAACGCTGCAGTTGTTTCACGGCGGTATTCTGTGAGCTCCCTCCTATCTGCCGGGTCCATTCGTGCCGAAGCATGACTCTCCCTTATAACAAACAAGTTTAGTCAGCTACCTACCACTTAGGTTGTTGAACTTTAAACAGACAGGAGTCGGGGCTGAGCGCTAGACTGGCGCCGCGCAGCCCGCGGTAGCTGCAGTCGGCCGCGAGGTACGCGGCTTGGGGGAAGTATCCGGTTACTATACACTTCATTATGCGTTCTGTTTTACCTGTGAATAAAAGGAAGTACTTGTATTAACCGAGGCTTGTTTTTGGTGACAATCATAAAATTTACTTCTCCTATTTTCAGAAAGAGTGTCAGGGTTTCTGACTATCCACAGACGGGGCCCTAAAGGGCTGATGTTCAGCCGGGGTTGCGGGGTAAGCGCAGTAAGTCACCGCGACCTCGGCACAGAGCAGGAGAAAGAACAGGGGGGTTTTAGTCAGTAAGAGTCTGACACTTCCTCTCGCCTCACCCTGGGCGGGAGAAGTCATTCGATTTCCTCTAACAAAATAATAAATGAAGAAATAGGGTTTCTGACTAAAAACACCCCGTTACTTCTCCTGCTCCAGTCTGGACCAAGGTTCATTATTGCGCTAGTAGCTGCAACCCTGAATCGAGGCTTCGAGTTTCATTTTGTACTTGAAAAGAAAGTTGTGTAGGTAAATTTTGTTAGTTTCTTAGTCCGAAGTACTAAGTAAGATCATCGAATTTCTTGTTAGTAGGTTAGGGCAGTATTATTTCACTTTTAAGTGTGAATTAATTCTTTTATTTGAGTTTAGTATTAAGTTTGTCTTTTATCTTTCTTCAATATGCGGTGTTTTTCTCTAAAACATTGTTGGTAGACTTAATAAATATATATATATATAAATTATTCATTAACTATAAACATTTACCTGATCCAAAGTCAATTCCTTCAAACTGTTTCTCTTCAATTTTGAACTTTCCTCTGATTAATTTCTCCAAGTTTTTTCGAACATCACACGCCTGGAACAAAATTAAAACATAATTAGTAACTTATATAAATACAAAAAAACTATAACAATAAGGTAGTAAAGATCTTTATTGTTTGATTATTTCAGACAAGGTTACCAATAAAATCCAACTACCGTATTGTCACATTCGTCATGTCATTGTCCTATATGGATCTGTGAGATGTTCTCAAATAGATAAATTATATAAGTGTTAAAATGTACATTAAAATGTGTTTAAAAATATCTGCGAATAATCTTTTTTTTTCTTTTAAAATTGAGTAGTCACCTACTGAATTTTAAAATGAAGTGTATGTGTTACGTCACAACCGGTAGTCAAAGGTATTGTTGCGACTCAGCGGCCGGGGCTCGGCCACTGGCTCCTGAGACGTGAACAGTGTCGTTACTCTACCTCCTGTCAGATAGATCTGACTCTGAGTACCTACACATTATTATATTCAAATAAGTATTTTCTTTATTTGTTAATCTTTGTGTAACCTATAAAATAGTTGTGTTGTTGGCTATTCTAATGTGGATTACGTAATAAATAGTAGTGTGGTTTTCATGTTAATGAGTTATTGAGTTTTTGGCTATATTTGTAAATAAAATAAATCTTCCTTTGTTATAATTGTTGATTTTTTTATTTTATTAGAGTACCAACTTCTAACGCGCTCTTGTAGGCAACACGTGCCGCGATGTTAACACACCCGTTTCGTTCAGCGACGTAGCTAGGTTCGATTTCCGGGTCGGCACAATGCGGGTCAGCACAAGATGGCACAAATCCGAGTAGTCGACTGCGTCGTTATACGCCGCGACGCGCACGCTGCTTATGCGACTTGTTTTGTTTTATGATATAAGTCGGCAAGCAAGCTGATGGTAAGCAATCAGCGCCGCTCAAGGACGGGGGTGTCCAACAAAAGAGGAGTTACAAGTGCCTGGACGACCTTTTAGGAATTCGAAAAATTTGGGATTAGAGGAGAAGCATTTATCCTCCTATGACCTCACTACCGCGGCGAAACACAACGCTGTGATTATTTCACGGAGGAGTTCGCATATCATTAAAGATGAAAAATATTTATTAAAATAATACCTTCTCCATAACTTTGTGATTGATGTAATATTTATCGCACCACTGCTTGCAAGCCCTCGCGTTTCTCTTGTCGTCGTCTGAAGTTTTCAGCTTCAGGTAGGCTTCCATTATGTTCAAGTACATTATTATGTCGCCTTCAGCTACCTGAAATAGCATAAGTCCTATGTTATAATCATCCAGTTTCTACCAATTAAATGCTTTTGGATCCGTCAGTCTGCCTGTGTGTTTGTTTGAAGTAAACTATAAAACTGCTTAACGGTTTACGATAATGATACGATAATCACCTGTAAATAGATTATTTGTGAACGACATTTAACATGTGAAAATTTAAGAAGGAAAAATAATACCAATAGAACTACTAAATACTTCACTAAATACTATTATTTGTGAAAATTTAAGAAAGCATAATATAAATAAGACAAAGATTTAAATATCAAAATCAATTGACCAATAATGATTTACTCAATACCGATACCGAGAGCAATGCTTATAAATATGGGTCCCGGTGTAACCCGAAACTAGACGAAATAACACGAAAATTAACAAGTAGTAACTTTAAGAAGTAAGTTGTTTAAATATAAGTACCTCAAAGTTATTCCTGCGGCTGATCTTGGCATCTATGATCTGCTTACCCCCTCCTGGCTTCAGGAACACGTTGTCTACTTGCAACATGGCCGCTATAGATAGAGCCTCGTCCACACACCCCCACTCTCCTGCAAACCAAATATTAATATTAATATCAATAAGAAAGAATGAAGGAGTTCATACATGGTCGTAAGGTCGTCAAGTGTTGGAGAGTCACGCTTCGGCACGAATGGAGTGATACCACGACCTCGCGAAAGGAAACCGACGTGAAATAACAAAAGCGTTATGTTCCGTGTGAGTGAGGTTACCGGGGCCGAATCCTTAACCTTATAAGACCAGCCAAGCTTTTGTAACTTCGTTGGTGATAAGGGTGTCCAAGGGCGATGCCGATTGCTTACCATCAGGTAATTCTTATACTCGTTTGCCTAGCCTAGCTATGGGAGTTTAGGTACAATTACTAATGTTAATAATGAGTATATCATATAAGTAAAATTGGGTAGTTTCCTAGGTCAAAAATAAATTAATTCGACGTTTTAATACGATAAAATATTGAAAAATAACTATACTTTTATTCATCGATCGATCGATACACTAAGGGTGAGTTGCACCATTTAACTTTAACCAAACCATAACCATAGAAAGCTATGAAACGGCCTCCTATTGGTCAGTTCGACGATTTGACAGCTGATAACGGCTATGTTATTGTTAAAGTTAAATGGTGAAACTCACCCTAAGTTTTAGATATTTTTTAGTAATTTTTTTTAAATAAGTAAGCTATTTGACGCAAAAATGCTATGACGTCATAATTCAATGTATCATACAATTTTCATAGAAAAGTATCGTTTTTGACATTTGGATAAAAGTATTGAATTTGACTAGTTGGAAACTACCGTATTGTAGGGAATATATGGCCGAGGACAACAGACATTTGCACTCTGTGGCAAGTTTTAGGGTAAGCCTTTGCTGAAAAGCAAAACGATCTTCGTTGACAAGGCAATAAAAAAATGTAAATTCAATAAGAATCTTATTTAACATGGTTAAATAAATGCTTTTATTATTATTATTATTCATATATATATATATATATATCCATACAATTTCACAAACATCACAACCAGACTCGAAGAAACGATTTGTGAATCGCCCACCGTAAGTCACATAATATCAGATATCGTTAATATCTTTGCAATTAAACAGTATTTATTTATAATTATAATACATACCACTCCGACACAGCATCGTGGCACACATGGGCTTTAAAGGCAGTTCAGCCACCATCTCCCCCAGGGGGGTGAGCCCCCCATCTCTGTCTATAGTCTGCAGGGCGTACAGCGTCTCTAGCGCGCATAGTACGCTGCGCGCCGGAGGGGGGGTCGGGAACGTAAACCTAAGGAAATAAGGACATTATGGCGACATCTATGCGTAAGGAATGGAAGTTGAAACTACGTTGTGTTGCGCCGTGTGAAAGAGGTTATAAATAAATCCAAACTAATATCATAAATGCTTTAGAGGTATGAGGGAACAGGGTGGAAAGTTCCTCATTCTCCATTGAAAAGGGAGGGTCCTCCGACCAGATGGTTGTTGTCGGGATTTTTGTATCGGTGCTAATTGTGTAGAGAACTCTTATACCGCAGTGTAGAATCTTGCACGTGATTGGTGATGTTGTTACTGATGTGCGATAGATGTCGCTACACTAATAATAAGATTACAAATTCAACAATTTCAATGAATAATAACAATGTCAATGAATAATTTATGCCATAATGATATTATGCAACATTTGAATCCCCCCTCTTGGAACTCTTCTTGTATTTTAAGGGCTTTCAGGGGCTTTTTTGATGGATAAAAATCCTCAAAAAGCTTTTCGCCCTTGCTTACCATCAGAGAAGAATATATCATCTATTATTGTACTAGATAAGCTTGCGTCAGCTGACGATGTATGTTTTAGTCGTGTTATAAAATATATAAATAAGCGAGACGCCCCGACTGCACCCGGATGCAACGCTGATAATAATTTATTCCACAATTTTATGGATTTTATTATAAATATAAACCTTCCTCTCCAATAAGTCTACGTATTAAAAACAACCACATCAAAATCCGTTGAGTAGTTTTAGAGATTTAAGCATACATAGAGATATAGGGACAGAGAAAGCGACTTTGTTTTATTATACTGTGTAGTGACAATAATAAGAATTACCTTAGCAAGTTATTAATGCCCAAAGCCTTCAGCTGTAGCAATACTCCTGAAAGATCACTTCGACACATTTCAGGAGGCACTGATGGAGGCAGCTTCTCGTATTCAGCTTCTGTGTACAGTCTGAAACATATTAACATATTTTTCAACACAATTCCTCATAAAGTGGCTCTAATCCCACGACAATAAGGCACATAATGACACCTTTAATCAAACTGTGACCTTTTCATTACTATTATTCACAAGTGACTAATCGTTTTTATTTTTAACTAGCTAGTCTTGCGCAGTTTCGCCCGCTGCTCAGCTCCATTTGATCGTAGCGCGATGTTTTATAGCCTATAGCACTCAGGAACATTGTAGTTATCTATCAGTGAAAGATTTTGGCAATCCGACCAGCGTTTCCAAAGATTACCCCCTACATACAAACTTACAAATTTTACCTCTTTATAATATTATAGTATAGATTATTAGAGTAGTCACGCTTACACTTGCGCTAAAATGGTATTTGCGAAAAGCTCAAAACAGAAACGTAATACTTTACTCTTTTTTTTAACCTTTGGCCGATACACGCGCTACGCTACTATTATTTAACTGTTTCCAACCTTTAAGTTTGGGTCATACTCCGGTACGAATGGGTCGGCTCCAAGCAGTGATACCACGACCTCACAAAAAACGCATGGAGTTGCAAAAACAGTGTTGGTCTTATGGGTTTTTGAGAATTTATGGATTAGGGAGGGGAAGGATTGGGCCTGAGGTAACCTCATTTAGACTGCGAAATACAACGCTGTAGTTGTTTCACGCCGGTTTTCTGTAAGGTCGAGACGGTCCATTCGTGGCGGAGTATGGCTCTCCCACACTGACCTATAGCAGTACCCCCTGGCAGTCCGTCCGGCCCGGCCAGCTCGCTGTATGGCGTTGTGGCGCGACACTGTTGTCACCGTCAGACTCTCCACCCCGACCGCAGGGTCGAAGTAAGGCAGCTTGTGGAAACCGCAGTCTATTACTGGGGAAAACAATATATAATAGATTTAATTAAAATTAGAATAATATAACTAGACACTAACCGCTTTATCATAAGTAAGGCAATTTTAAGGTTTTTGAAATTTTGACGAATGGCGAGGTATCTCGTCTAATTTCAAGCTTCGCCCGAGGCTCATAGTTATAAAACACAGCGACAATCGTAACGAAGCGACGAAGGTCGTCGTTATGTGTTATGACATGTCATACATAATATTCTTCTTCAAGTAGCATAGGTCCTTATTTCTCAATAATCGATTATATCATGAACTTCAATATTTAAAGGAAAGTTGATTATTTTAAGAAAACAGCCCAATTCCAACTATTCTGGAACATACTAAATATATTTAAACGACGACTTACTAATTAACTTAAACGTTCTACTACTTTCAAGTCACATCGGGGCTCTTATTCAAGAGCAGCGTGAGCGTCGCGGCGACGTCTATCAGCCGACTGACTGTTGAAGACAAGTATCCCGTTGTGATTTAAAACTAGCAGAGTTTTTCTCAGTTAATTCAAGTAAGTAATCATTATCAATAAAACATTTTCCTACCAAAAAAAAAAACTTCCAAAATTCATCATTTCTACTGTAAAAAATGGCAACTCACCATAAACAACTCCAGGTATGGTAACACTGGTTTCGGCGACATTGGTTGCTATGACAACCTTCCTGACGTTATTGTCTGTTCTCTGAAAAACTTTAACTTGCTTATAGTGAGGCAAAGTCCCGTACATTGGTACTACAAGCATGTTGGCTGCCTTTATACCGCTGGGGAAGTGACTTCGATGCTTGTTTGTTTCATTGTTGTTGTCAGCGTACGTACGGAGAGTTTCTAGGGCCGTTAAGATTTCTTCCTGTAAAAAAAATATATTCGATAAATGTCGTTATAAATGAAATTCAGTATCATTTTTTCTTGAGAATCCAATAAAATTAAGAATTTAAATTCAAATTTATAACTTTTTTTGTAATTATAATGACAAATGGGAATTAAAATAAACAAACAGGTTCAAATTATTGAAATTTTACAAGAAAACTCGAAATGACTTGTCAAATATTAAAAAAAAAAGTTCAAAGCTCAAAGTAGCAAAGTAGGTTTTTTCCTATGTCGTAAGCACAACAAAAGAGCCAGGAATCAACAATTAGTATATCACATAATTAATAAAAATGGAATATAAAAATCTTTTTTTTTTTTGTTCACATCACATCACATCGTAACCCTATAAGTGCCCACTGCTGAGCAAAGGCCTCTTCTCACACGGAGGTTTGGGAATTAATCACCACGCTTGCTCAAGGTGGATTGGCGATCTCGAACTTACAATAGAAAAATATCAGTATAGGTTTCCTCCCCATCAGTTTGCTTACCATCAGGTAATCCGTTTGCTCCTTTGCTGACCTATACCATAAAAAATACAAAAAAAACTACCCAAATTTTGATTTATGAACGTTAAATAATAAAAGATGTCGTGGGGGCCCGGAGGTTAAGGAGCCCGCTTTTCATGCATGAGGTAGGGTGTCCCAAAAAAATCAAAGTCGTTTTATTTTAACGCATACCCTCTAATTATATGCGAATGGTGCTAAAACACATGTAAATAAAATTTCATGTACCTAGAACCAGAGTAACCGGTGCCGACTATCGTCGATACATGTCAGTACTTGCATACTATGGCGCGTCAGAGTTAACATTTCGTAGTGCTTGATATTACTTGTTTCTTTTATTAGTTAATGCATTATTATCGTTTGTTCAAAATGTGAGAGAGATTACGCAGATCCAAAAAGGGGATGTTTTTATTGGGGATGTAAAACTTAAAATCACCGGGTCAAAACTTACCTCTAAAGAGCAAGTATTGGCAGATTTGTGGAATAATATTCGAGAACTGAATTAAAGTGTAAATGAAAGCGTAAATCGTAATATTCGTGAGTGCATTATTGTTCGGGAAAAGACACGTATTCCGACTAAATCTTTACCTAATTTTATACCAGGTTTGGCAAGATCTACAAAGAATGTGACAAAACCCAAGACATATTCGAAAAGCGTAGACAAGAGTTTATATCCAGACTGTAAAAAAAAACTTTGAAAATAAAATTTGTAAATAACTTTTATATAATAAATCAATAATATAATAAATCAGTTTACACTAAATATACGACTGAGTTAAAATAATACTTTATTTATTGAATAGTGAGAATAAGAAGAAGAAGGTGAGAACAAGTGACATTCTAAAATGTCCTCGGTATTTTTCATACAAAAATTTTGTTAAAAGTTTGCCATCAAGTCGGCACGGGTTATCGTTATCCGATCCCAATGATATTTTATATTTTGGTTATTAGGGTCATTTAGAAAAAATATAAAGGGTATGCATAACTAAATTCGAAAAAAAATTTTTCACCCTTATACGCTGGGATACTCTAATGAGGGTGTATGTTTGAAACCTGGCAAGTACCAATGTGACTTTTTCCGAGTTATATGTACTTTCTATGATTATTTAGACACCACTGACATACGGTGAAGGTAAACATCGTGAGAAAACCTGGACTTATAATTTCTAATTATAAGTTTGAAATCGCCAACCCGCATTTAGCGAGCGTGGTGATTAATGCTCTAACCTTCTCTGTATGAGAAGAGGCCTTTGCTCAGCAATGGGCACTTATAGGCTGATGATGATGATGAAATAATAAAATATCAATAAATATTATCCGATACCCCATTATAAAAGGTAAAGAAAAACTTACCTGTGACGTCAAGAAAGCTAAGATATCACCAAACGGCTGGTTCTCGTGGATCCTGATAACTGTATCCACTGTAGCCTTCACATAGTCAGGTACTGGTTCTGGAATATTACAGTAAATGCTTTAAAAACTCAATCTCCTTATTAGAAAAAAAAAGGGTTTTCTTCAGTCTAGGTCTTCTTTTGTGAGAGGCAAATCATCAAATGACTTCTCCCGCCCAGGGTCAGGCGGGGGGAATGTCAGACTCTTACTCACTAAAAACTCTGAGCCGAGGCCGTGGTGCCTCATTGCGCTTGCCCCGCAACCCGGACTGAACACCAGCCCTACAGGGCCCCGTCTGTGTGGTCTATTGGCTCTTTAACGTACGCTCGGGTCTGGTTCTGGCCGAGAAGCGAGCTGCCCTTACTCGCCGTCCGCAGAGCCGCACTTACGGTGGCCGGAGATCGTCTCTCCAGTCTAGGTCCACTAAACCATTGAGCCAATTTTTGTATTTTTAATTGAAGGTAGGTGAAAATAAGATTCAAAATTCAAAACCTGACTCAATTGTTTAAATCTAGACTAAAGGTAAATCTTGTTTTGTCATAAGGGGAAGGTAGATTACTTCTCACACTGTTTTTTTTTTTCATTTCTTCAGCAAAAATTGCCCAGTTATGGAGTCTTGGATTTCAATTTTAATATTGAATAGTCCAAAGTTCTAAACCTTATTATCATTCAGTTTTTAGCATAGTCAAGTCAAGTCAAATTCAAAATTTATTTCAATTAGAACATACAGGCACTTTTGAACGTTGAACAAAATTTTAAACATACATGGTACATAGTGTCAGACTGTCGGTCAGTTTGTAAAGTTATTTGTAGAATTAATTGATATTAGATTAATTATTTGACGTTCAAAACCGCCTGGTTTTTTAAATAAATGATTAGTAGTGGTATTTTTTAAATAAATGATTTGACGTTGACGTTTAACCATATCTTAGAACTTCATTTGATTTCAAATGGAAAGGAATTAATTGAAGAATCTAATACCTACTACTAAGACCACTATCTATAGGCGGTTTTGGAACGCCAAAGAAAATACCTGAAATAATAAAGTTCAAATTTATGTGTCAGTATGTAGTTCTGTCGTCTTGTGAACAAGCGAGAGACTCCAGACAAAACGATATTTCTGTCAACCTAGTACCGTTACCTCAAAACTAGATGGCGCCACTGACCTTGCGTATAAAACACCTCAATAGGATGTGTGCGGCCCTGCATAGACATGATCGTGGATGTGCTAGGTTTGTCTCGCTGCGCCCTATCTCTCGTGTTGAAGAAATCTCGAAGAAACTCTGCATCCATAGTCGCAGATGAAACAACTAACTTGAGGTTTTTGCGTTTCTGAAATTTCATGAAGAAAGTTAAAGTGAAATATGTTTCTGGCACTTTTTTCTGACGATATTTTACAAACATCATTTTTAGTAATGCAAGTAAGTCCTTTCATTTTTATGGCATAAGTCTTTAAGTTTAAACCTGCATACAGATTACCTAATGGTAAGAATTCGGCGCCGCCCAAAGACAGTCGTAATAGCAAAGGACTTGCTACAAGTGCGTTACCGGCCCCTTGTAGTTAATTAAGGATTTAAGGATAGGAAATTTGAGGACTGAGGATAATGAGGAGTAAGGATTGGGCCTCCGGTAACCACACCCATTCTGAGAAACACAACGTTAGTTGCAACCCGTTAGTGCTAAAGCATGGCTCTCCCACACTTTTATTCGTATGCGTATACAAGTAATGTTTTTTTATGTAATAGGTCGGCAAACGAGCAGACGAATTACCTGATGGTAAGCAATCAGCGCCGCCCATGGACACCCGCAACGAAGAAGTTACAAGTGCGTTTCCGACCTTTTAGGGATTTGGAGATTTAGGGATTGAGGGAGGGGAAGGACTCCGGTAACCTCACTCACACGGCGAAACACATCGCTGTGGTTGTTTTACGCCGGTTTTCTGTGAGGCTGTGGTATCACTCTGGTCGAGCCGACCCATTCGTGCCGAAGCATGGCTCTCCCACACTATGTGCCCCGAAATATATTAAAAAACAGCGTTTAAAATAAATCAAGTATTATTTATAGCCTATACCACTCAGGAACATTGTAACTATCCATCAGTGAAAGACCAGCGATTTCCGAATACCAGCGGTTCCAAAGATTGCCTTTTAAATTATTAGTATACTTGTAAATGTCAACTTTTTAGAAACATCATGGTATGGAAGCGCTTTTTACAGTACCCACATTACTACATCAAACCAGTGCTAATAATTACCTTGATAATTTTCTTCAATAAACCCATTAGTACATCTGTCATCTGCGTTCGTTCATGGACCTGAAATTATAATAATACAAATAATTTTAGCCTCTTTTCTTTTCTATTTAAGGGCTATTATTGAGTGTTTTTTTATTGTTTTTCTATTGAAAATATACTGACCTCGTCCAGAACTATACAGGAGTACTGCATTAGCAGCGGCGATGCAAACATTTCTCTTAGAAGAACACCTTCAGTCATAAACTGAAATAAAAAACAAATATTCGACAAGTTAGTACGCTGAGAGTAATAATAGATGGCGCTGTCGACGTTTTGAAGCAAGCGCAATGAAGTACCGCGGCCTCGGCCAGGAGCAGGAGAAGGAACTGGGTGGTTTTTAGTCAATAAGAGTCTGACTCTCCATCTCGCCTCACCCGGACCGACAGACAGACATATTGAACAGCCTTATTACCTATACAACAAAAGGTGAGGTAAAAATCATCAAATGTCTTCTCCGTACTCTTACTGACTGGTATCACTCCGGTTAAGCCGATAGTAGTACCGGTGATTAGCGTGTGGAAAACATATATTGTTCTAACTTTTTCCTGCGACTTCGTTCGCGTGGAATAGTGACTTCCTCCAGATTTTTGGTTTTATCCACATAATTCTCGATCTCGCGGGATTTTCGGGATAAAAACTATCCTATGTGTTTTCTCGAGTTCCAAGCTATATCCGTACCAAATTTCACACAAATCGGTTAAGTAATTCAGGCGTGAAGAAAAGAAAAAAAAAGAGTTACTTAGCATTTATAATATTAGTTTTGATTTGTTTTTTATTACAGTATCCGTGTTGCCCTACCTTTGTTTGACCCATAGAAATATACAAAGTACGTGTGTGATGTTTAGTTAGACAGAAATTTGTCAAGCTATTTCAAAATCGGCTTGACCGGAGTGATACCACGGCCTCACAGAAAACCGACGTGAAATATAATACTTCCCCTCCCACAACCCCAAATTCTCCGAATCCCTAATCTCCAAAAGGTCGGCAACACACTCGTCCTCCGTTTTTGCGAGTCTCCATGGGCGGCGCTGATTGCTTACCATCAGGTAATCCGTTTGCTCGTTTGCCGAGATATCAAAATAAAAAATATCTGCTGACATAATAACCGACTTCCCGGATATGGGTGGGCCATCGGATTAATAGGTGATTTATCTTTGTTACTTAAATTTGAAATCAAAAGAATCGATAAGATAATATGCATTAAGTATAAAGTAGTAAATACATAATTACGATTGTTACACGAGAATTATGAGATAGAAATTGATATGGAAAGCCATTAAAAAATTATATTAGATTCTGGTCTTTTAAACCCTGTACGAATAAACAAAAATTAAAAATGACAAATGTCAACATGACTTTTTTTTTATTTAATAGGTCGGCAAACGAGCAGACGGATTACCTGATGGTAAGCAATCAGCGCCGCCCATGGACACTCGCAACGGAGGAGTTACGAGTGCGTTGCCGACCTTTTAGGGATTAGGGATTTGGAGATTTAGGGATTTATGAGGGATTGGAGGAGGGGAAGGATTGGGCCTCCGGTTGACTAGCGAAGAACAACAACAAAAAAGTCGAGTGTAGCGTGATCTACTTATAATTATGGGCCCTGTCGTGGCTTGAAATTTGTCGAGTAATACACTTAACAAGGAAAAACGGTAAAACCTGATGAACACCAAAAGATCAAGTACCAGTTAATTAAAATTGTAACTTAATTAACTCACAAAACGTCTTGCTTAACAGTTTAACAAGGCAATGGAAATCTCAACAAACAAGAGGATTATGGAGTAAAATAATAAGTTTTTGATAAAGCATTCATCATAACAGGATTATGATTAAAAAAAGTTTCCAAATTTGCATGACGTCATAACGTAAGTGATAACGACTGTTATCAGTTTTGGTTTTGTCGCCCATTCAGTGCTTGAGCGTTGGTGACCTTGGATCAGATTATCAAAATCTAAATTATAATTGGTCGTAGAAGCCACTGTAAATAAATAACTATACCAAAGACAAGACATTTCCATATTTTTTTTAAAATAACGATGGACTTTCTTGCTTGTTCTTCTCCATTGGAATCTATTTAATTATTCGAAAATTGGAGAAGGGAATGAGCAAGGAAAGGAAAAAGACTAGGTATCCATTTTTTGACTTGACATGTTAAAGTTCAATATCGCCATTAGGCTTGATATGACGGGCTTACAGAGAGCCAAAAATGGTACTAACGTACCTATATACTCACAACAATATCAGTGTTGACTCCCCGGCAGTTTGTGTTGGCAGCAGCGTATCCGACCTGTTCTCCTAGTATGACGCCTCGCTCTTCGGCCACCCGACATGCTAGCGATACTGCAGCGGCCACGCGTGGCTGCGTCACACACACTTTGTGACCGATCTCGTGGAGGTACTGGAACAAGAAGCAAATTAGCTTTAGCTTAACTTTAGAGGTTAGCTATAGCCAACCATCCTCTTTGTTAATGGTTTGCACATAGCCGAGGGATTCGACCTTCATCGTCATACTTATCTAAACTTTTAAGGGACGTTTATCATCACCGTGTATGTATCGCAGCTCCAGCTTGAATCAGGAGAAGAAATGGGGAAGTGTTTAGTCAGTGAAAGTGTGGCACTTCATTCTTAAGATAAGATAAAGACATTTATTTGTCTCTGATTTGCTTCCTCACAAAAAAGTGGCCTATATTATTGGGACATCTGACCAGTAGTAGCGTTATGTGAATAAAGAGATAAAGCATACGCATAACGCTAAAACAAACAATAGAGTGATTAACTCGGCGATAACCAGTTAATTTATGTGACAAAACAATCGAGCCTAGGGATTACCATCATAGGAATTACGAGTGCGTCGACGGCCTTTTGAGGATTAGCGTTTCAGAGATTTAGAAATGGGGAGGGGAAGGATTAGGGCTCAGGTAACCTCACTCATTCGGCGAAACGCAGAAGAACACCAACACAGAAAATCATCGTGAAACAACCATATTGATTCACGATGATTTTCTGTGAAGCCGCTGATTACTTACCACCAGGACGTGGTGTGACGCGCATGGATACCCGCAACACCAGAGGAGTTACGAGTGCATCGTTGGCCTTTTGGGGATTAGTGTTTCAGAGATTTAAAGATTGGGGAGGGGACGCATTGGGCATCCGGTAACCCTCATTCACACTGCGAAACACAACGCTGGTTGTTTTACGGCGATTTTCTGAGAAGCCAAAGTATCATTCCAGTCGAGCTGAAGCATGGCTCTTCCACACTTTCTAGATTACACAACCTAATTCTACAAACATGGTGTTCTAATCTAAACTCTACAATGCCTTTACCGTTTTGGCTAAATTTCATCTTGAATTATTAGTGGAAGTCCAGAAAAGGTGAACGTAGTACGAAAATTTTAAAACATCTTGAAAACGTGTAAACAATCGACATCCACGCGGGCGGAGCCGCGGGCGACCACTACTATTACATACTTTAACACCATAACCTTTATTTCCGTAGTAAAACCAACAGATCACACACAGCCGGCTGATACTGATGATCTAACATCCAATTTAACAATCCCACATCTAAAATTAAGAACAGCGCGGCCTATATCCAAGCCATATAATCTCATAACCGTATCACCCGTTTTTTATACAAATCCAATCTACATACAGAATGGCAGGCAGATGAAGATACCCCACTGTAGAAAATTTCTTTAAACAATTTCCGATCTTACTGCGTTGAGATAAGTGTCCATTTTTTAGGGATATATGGGTGGTATACGTTGATATGCTTCGTGTTAGTATTTCAGGTCTCTGGCTAGGTTCCAATAGTTTTGTTTATTTGCTATCTTTATGGTGTGTGCATGGTTTTATATTCAAAATGTTTTTACGTTAGGAGAAATATATCATTTTATATTACTTTCTGTTACGCTAGACGTTTTCTTGTTACATTACCTATTCTGTAAAGGACGTCACAATTGTTCTGTATTCTGAGGTCACAATGAAGGAATAATGATTTCTACCTCCTTTAAGTCTTATAAAATATCGTCCATTATCCACTGTGAAAACCGGCGTGAAAAAACGCTTTCGTTATGTTTTACTTTGTGAGAGCTGGCACTGGAGGTCCAATCCTTCCTCAGTTCGTCACCGTCATACCCAAACCCTCAAACCCCTATCTCCAAAAATTGGCAACGCACTTGTAACTTCTTGATACCCATGAGCGAAACCAATTGCTTACTACCTGCCCCTTCCATAAACGAAGAGACTAAAGAGTTAATACCCTCGTAAATAAATATATGTTGTTAATATGGAACGCGAAAGTTTAAAAGTTAGAGACTATTCGGATGGACAAATCTTATTTCAGATCACTGAGTACAGATCCAAGTTTAGTACCATTGCAAAAAATTTCATTGAAATAATTCATAAATCAAATCTGATATCAGAAACTCCCACTGACGACCCTGTCATGTAATACGCTAAAAAAAAAAAACACTATGGCAAAATAAATATTAGGTTAAGCGCCATCTACCGGTCACGACCTCAAACATTTGGCTAAACAAACTATGAACCGCGAATTTTTATCACATAGTTAATTAGTGTTAATTAGAATGCGACATTATTTTAATAGGGATGAGTGTCAATGGGTTTGTGTCCAAATAACCTAGGCTTATGGTCTCAATGGACATGTTTTAGTTTAAAATACTTTGTGTAATTAGCTCGATAGTCAAGTCATGGTTTTTTTTTAAACAAAGACAAAATCGTGAAGGAACACATCATGATGAACCCTTGATTTATAATTCTGTTGCAAGTATAAGTTTGGAATCGCCAATCTGCCTTGAGCGAGCGTGGTGATTAATGTACAAACCTTCCCTGTGTGAGAAGAGGCCTTTTCGCCGCAGTAGTGGGCACTTATAGGCTATACCTACTTGGTACTTTAGTACTAAATAAGTATTTAAATTGTTATTATTTTTTCAAAAGCCGGCAACTGAACAACCTGATGGAAAGCAAAAGGCGTAGTACATTAAAAAAAAAAGTTTTTTTTATGTAATACGGTGGCAAACGTGCAGACCTATTTCCTACAAGTAAGCAATGAATCGGCGCCACCCATGGACGTATTTAAATGCCCAATCCTTCCCCTTCCCTAATCCCTCCTCAATCCCTAAATCTCCAAATCCCTAATCTCTTAAAGGTCGGCAACGCACTCGTAACTCCTCCGTTGTGAGTGTCCATGAGCGACGCTGATTGCTTACCATCAGGTAATCCGTCTGCTCGTTTGCCGACCTATTACATATAAAAAAAAAAGTATAGAAGTATAGATTTGCAAAAGAAACATAGTAATTTATAATGAACTACATACGGCACCAAAATTCTCTATTTGGGCACATGACAGTCCAAATTCTTTTGGCTTAGTTAATAAATAGCATATAAGAAAAGCTTTCTACTATCACGTAGGCACAGTATAAATATCATACAGTATTGTAACTCGGCCGCTTGAAAGAAATAAATACCTACAGCCGCGCGGTACGTAAACATGCGTTAGGGCTGCTCGTTTCCAGTATTTTAATTACCTTTGTCTACTTTCCGTTTCCATTTAGTTTTGTGATTGTAAATATCCATTTTTATATAAACAAATAAAGTGCTTTAAAAATAAACAAACAAAATTTCTTTGGCCACTAATGCCGAACTGAACAGCTGACTACGAATGTTCTAAAATCACAACCCTCAAACATCAAAATATTACATGAGTCTAGCTGTTTTATTGTTGTTATTAAATATTTTCTAGTATTATTCATAAACGCAGATAATAAACAAATATTATTAATAATAAAATACCACACTCTCTACTTTGAATTATACAAACTAACAAAACATACATGAACCGTTTTAACACAAGCGTAAGTAGGTAGGTACCTAACGTATCATGATTCATTCAGAGCCAGAACCGCCTATAACTACCTATTTCACTCGTCTCAATAACTTTATTCATATTATTTATAAATTCAAACATCTGTTTTCGTGTTATAACTGGAAATAATGATCCATAAAGACACACATTATGTACCTACCTAGGCTACTAGTAAGTAAAATTATTTTATAGTCTTACCTTTCAGAGTTTCCAGGTAATTTAAAAAAAAACTTATGTCTGGATGCGTTATTGACGAATTCACGCAACCAAACATTCATAGACACATACACCTATTCGTCATATTAAATAATGTACTCGAGCTGATTTCTAAATAAAAGACAACACACCGTCCGTTCGTCACTGCGGTACAGCCGCGTCTGTCTGCGTCCCGAGCGCGTCCCGACATCGGGCGCGTAGGTATAGTTCGCGTTTCGGCCGTTTCTATGAAGTTGAAATACTTGTAGATATTATTACCTTGACGTAGGTATAGCAAAAATACAACAATCATTAATTACGATAATATAAACCGCCCTGGTGGGTGGCTAATATTATTCCATATTATATCAATTTCTCTTGTATGTGCGGGTTCCAAACTTGGCAAGTACTGCTGTGACTTTTTCCGAGTTTCACGAGTATGTAAGTTGATTTAGACACCACTGAAATTTGCTGTGAGGAAAAACATCGTGAAGAAACCTGGACATGACATTCTAATTATATTTATCCACCATGAACAAGAATGGTAGCATTTAATTATTGCCTATAGACCGTTAGAGAGAAGAGTTTAAAGCTTCCAATTAAACAACTTTATATGTTTTAATTTTTAATACATGTTTTGGTTTGTGTATCTCAAAATGTTCGCACTTATAATGTCATTGTGATCAAATTGTGACCTGTGTAAAATCCAAATCCAAACTAATATTATAAATGTGAAAGTAACTCTGTCTGTCTGTCTGACTTTTCTTCACGCCTAACCTACTGAATTGATTTCTATGAAGTTTGGCACAGACATAGTTTTGGAATTCGAGAAAGGACATAGGATAGTTTTTAAAAATCTGCAGGAAGCCACGCGAACGAAGTCGCGGGCAAAAGCTAGTTTCTTATAAGAGAGAATGTAGTATTGTGTTACATTATTAAAAATCGAATGTAATCGAAATCTTTCATCCCTTTCCCACCAACCCGATTAAAATGAAACAAGAAACATACCAAACAAAACCAATAAGTATTACATAATACGGCCCATTCTTAGTAACACGATCAACCCATTTTTTCTCCAGATTTTTGGCATGTTGCCAGATCGTTTATCTAGTGGTTAGTGGTTAGGGGAGAGCTGGCAACGTTTCAGTGTGAATTGATGAAGTTGACAACATGGTAAGGATCACTGCAGTGGATGAGAGATAAGCTTTCACTATTCAAGTGGTTGCAGTAAAGAATGCGGTTTTAGGTCTAAGTTTGTAGATAGGTACGTAGATAAATGTATCGACTGTTACGGTTTTATTTTTGTTGAACAATAGGTTGTAGTGTTTCTCAAGTTAAGGCAGACTCATCGTTCCATATAGATATCTGCATGGAACATTTGGGCATGTGTGATTTTTTTTTGTTTCTCGACGATGATCAACAATACCGCTAGCTAGACGGTATGTGCTATAGAATAAGATTTGATTTAGGTCCGAGTCTCATAGAATTAACAAACCACCACAGAGGGCCGCTGTTCAGCCCGCCAGCCAGGGGTTGCGGGGCAAACTCAACAAGGCACCGTGGCATCGTCAGAGTCGCGGAGAGCCTATGGACACGAGTGGCGACTTAGGTTCGGCGTGGAAAACTATGGGGGAGGCCTTTGTCCAGCAGTGGACGCCTTCCAGCTAATGATGATGATGTTGATGATGTAGAACACGATATGACACGAGCAGATCCGACCCGACCCGACCCGACACGACAACACACCACGCATGTGTGTCTAACCATTGTAAACACACAAGTTTGATAAAAACAAAACACAGTAATATAGGTATTTCCGGTTGAAGACTTATCTATATAATTTTTATATCGCTTTTGTAACAAACACCATATTATCAGCGTTTATGTGATGGATCATAACTAATAAACACATTATCTGACAGATAATCAAAATATTTAACGATTAGTTGCAATTGTCTAGACTCGTAATTAGGTAGGTATACCTAATCTTAGAAATAGCAAAAATGTTATTTTTGTATCTGTAACATGAAAATGAATCTTAATAATAACTTAAGTCAGCAGGCTAGGGTCTAAAATTGGGTGACCTGTCGTGTCCGGCCTTAGTCGAGGCCATGGTAAAGAGCGAGAGGAACTGGGAAGACGTCTCCGTTTTCTGCAAACAGTTAGGAGTATACTTGAAAAGAAGAAGGCGGAGCGCGTAAGGGAGCTATCCTCTGTACGTCACGTCGGGAATCGAGTCATGATCTCGGGCCACCCTAAGAGCGGGTCTGCGGATGGCGAGCAAGGGTAGCTCTAGCACGCCACACGACCAGAACCAGACCCGACCGTACACGAGGCCTAATAAGGCCGATGTTTAATCGGGGTTGCGGGATAAGCGCAATGAGTCACCGCGGCCTCGGCCCAGAGCAGGAGAAGGAACTGAGGGATTTTAGCCAGTCTGACATTCCCTCCCTCAGTCATCACAAAAATAAAAACATCAATACGTCTTAACAGGCGTGGCTTGAGTGGCCCTGTCCCCTTTGTGTCAAACGAGTGTATGTGTATGTAGGCAAAAATATAGGTTATTTTGTTTACATTATAACCGTCTTTTTATCAAACAAAAAGATGGCAAACAAACAAACATTTTAAATATCCAATCAGAATATGTGTCTCAATTTACGAGTGACACGCGACTATGTGGCGCGATGAGTCGCGACGAAGCGATAAAAATTATCCAATTTAACGTTACAGATCTTATTACGAACTGGAATAGTTTTTGTTAATTAAGTCATTGTATTATTAACTGTTTTGTGGACCCGAGCGTAATGTTCGTCGCATTCCACACACGCCTAAAAGAGTAAGAGCCATTAGACCACCACAGATGTGACCCAATAGGGCCGAACTTGCGGATGTAAGCGTAACAATGTGCAGAGGCCACGGCTCGGAGGAGAAAACCAATTATTCTGACACCCGCTCTCACCCAACACAGAAGGGGAGAAGTAATTTTACGATTGCCCCTCTTAAATATAAAAAAAAAACTATCTGCAGGTGCTAAAAAACAGTTGCAAACCAATTCTAAGCAAAACCGTTTAAACTTTTAGGTCATGTAAATTGATTACGATAGAAATGTTGGTTCGTTGGAAATCTTACTAACATTATAAATTATAAACTGCTATATAAATTATAACACAGGCTACTTTTTTACTCCGGTACTGTGAACGAAGCCGCTGGAAGAAATTTGTTGTAACGCGGTCTAGTTCGGAGCAGGAGAAAAAGGAGATTGTTTTTTAGTTAGCAAGAGTCTGACTCTCCCTTTTCACCTATCCAGGACGGGAGCAGAAATTTGATGACCACTCACCCTCAAAAAAGACCCTATAAACTATAAACAAATAGGCCATAAAACGGCACTTTTATACGTCAATATTATAAATGAAAAACTAGACGAAGTCGGCATTTCCTGACTACTCTGAGAAAAAATGCCCAAATAAACTCTGAGATCCGTCCCTTTTCTCCAAGAAATGGTACCTGCCCATACAGTACAGTAGATATGTATGCATATGTAGCTGCATCCTGCATGTACGCATGTATGTGTATCTGGTTGATCTCAAGCCTGATACGGCCAGTAAATCCAGTCTGTCTGCATTGCTTTCTATAAAAATAGTAAGCACCATATAAGATTGGCAACAAGTTCATTGGATAAACGGTCGAACATCAAGACAACCAGTAGTGTATTTCTACAGGATAAAATTAATCACGAAATGTGTTGCTAAGCTAAAATCTCGAGAACGGCTGAACCGATTTCGCTGATTCCTACTTTGCTGTGTTTGTTATTCTCAGGAAGGCACCTTAGGGATTGTGTCGCCCTGATGGCTTGGAACCAATGTAATGTTTTTTCATGTTATATGTACTTTCCAGAATTATAACGATACCATTGAAGTATAACATCGTGAGGAAACATGAATTATAAAGTCTAATCATAAGTTTAAAATCGCCAATCTGCTTAGAGCAAGCGTGGTGAATAATACTCAACCTTCTTCGTGTAAGAAGAGGCATTTGTATTAGTGGGTACTTATTGTTTATAGATTGATAATGATGACTGCATAGAAAATTCTAAGTAATATATTTTTGACTGCAACTTAGTGTCCCATTTTCTTTGCGTGATCCACAAAATCTGTCCGGGTATCATATGCATTTACTACAATTAAAACCAAGTTTTTGTTAAAGTACCCCCACGACAGAGGAGAAAATCTTAGTGTGGGGCAGAGTTTATTGAAATGCGTGTAAGAGAGCCATGCTTCGGCACGAATGCGTCGGCTCGACCGGAGTGATACCACGGCCTCACAGAAAACCAGCGTCGAACAACCACAGAGTTTCGCTGTGTGAATGAGGTTATCGAAGGCCCAATCCTTTCCCTTCTCCAATCTCTAAATCTCCAAATCCTTAATCCCCAAAAGGTCGACAACGCACTCGTAACTCCTCTGACGTTGCGGCTGTCCATGGGCAGCGCCGATTGCTTACCATCAAGTAATCGGTCTACTTGTTTGCAGACTTATCACATAGGAAACAAATAAAAAAAGAATCAGTAGCTTTATTACTTGTAGAAGTTGTAGGCAATAATAACTTCTAGTTGGCTTATCGCTACACAAAATTTTCTCCGAAAACATTTGAATTGCTGATTTTCTGTTTAACATATAAAACAACGTTGACCTTACAAGCAGAGAATAAGAACGAGATATTATCATTACCAGTAGGAATGTTCAGGGGCTCCGTAGCTGGAACCGAAACCGAAAATATTCCCTAAAAATACTGTCTGGAACCGTAACTTGATTCGATACAACACGGTGATTGTGAACATTGATTACACGTTTGGTGCGGGTGGTTGGGCAACTGGCTGCCATGCAACGTGTCACGGGTTCGATTCCCGCACGGATTAACTCTTTGTGTGATCCACAAATTGTTGTTCCGGGTCTAGGTGTCATGTGTACGTGAAATTGTATGTTTGTAACCGCATCCACGAAACATAAGAAAATCCTAGTAAGGGTAACGTTTTTATATAAAAAAAAATTCGGCTAGTTTCACATAGTTCCGCGTTTATAAGATGTCGATACGAGACCACTTAAACAGAGACACAAAATACTTATTTCTTCTGAAACATGCATAAGTTATATTAAGAAACTACACCTTTTATTATTTATTTTTATGACACTTACTCAGTAGGTCTGATTACCACTATATCTCATGTAATCTGTTGATTAAATTATTATATTTCAGAATGACTGCACAAAAAGTCATATCATTTAATTCGTTTTAGCCAAATATCCGAAAATGAAAATAACCTCAAGGACAATATTTGACTGCATGGTTGGCGCGACGGCCGCCGCGTAACGTGTCGCGGGTTTCGACCGGTCGACTTGGAACTGTACTAGGAGAGGGAGAGCCATGCTTCGGCACGAATGGGTCGGGTCGACCGGTGTGATACCACTGCTCCACAGAAAACGGACAAGAAACACACAGCGTTGTGTTTCGCCGTGTGAGTGAGGTTACCGGAGGTCCAATTAAGAAGAGGAAGGGAAGGTTCCCTTCCCCAATCGTTAAATCTCCAAATCCCTAATCCCCAAAAGGTTGGCAGCGTACTTATAACTCCTCTGTTGTTGCGGATGTCCATTGGCGGCGCTGATTGCTTACCATCAGGTAATCCGTCTGCCGGCCTATAACATACAAAATATAATTTATCAGCCTAAAAATTTTACCTACATCCGTATCTAGATCCGGAATGCCATCACATCCCTGATTACTCGTCCAAGCTGTACAAAATAAACTTAGAATTTGCGCAAGCATCGTACGATATTACGTAGGTAAGTAGGTATTATTTTTTTGATTAAGTATTAAATGTTGTTGAAAATAATTGCCGTACCTACAATATATTACTGTTATCATCAGCCCGAGATTACAATTAGTTTGCAGAGATAACACCGGCTATCGTAACTATCTATTACTTTTAATTTTATTAATCTTTAGCACGATTGTGTTTTAATTGTTTCGTCAAATGCAGCGAATCGCGTTGCTTGATTGTTTATGATCGACGATATTGGGTTGAGTTCAGTACCTACCTACTTAAGTATTTTCGTCATTGAAAATGATCTTAGTATTGGAAGAAATTCAACTTTTCAGTCCACGTATTTATTCAATACGTAACGTAACGTATATTAGCATTAAAAAACGCGTATTATATTATTTTTAATTATCGCGTATTATATTAAATTCAGGCGAATCCTGAATGCGATACTGCCTAATTCGACTGCAGAGTTAGCGTAATGGCTAGGCAACCGGTTGCTAAGTTAAGAGTCATAGGACATGGGACAAATTGTTTTCGGGTCTGGGTGTGATGTGAATGTGAAATTTTATATTTGTAAACACGCCCTCAACACAAGAAGAAATAATTATGCTCTCGATAAAAAAAGCAGTCACATCATATACTAGCGACCGGCCGGCCCCGGCTTTGCACGGGTGCAACGCTGATGGCAAACTTCACCACTATTGTTAGATGTTACTTTACTTAAATTATATCTTCCTGTTCAATCACTATGTGTATTAAAAAAACCGCATCAAAATACGTTGCGTAGTTTTAAAGATTACGACTACGATTCATGCTATGTAGTAATATTCAATTGGTAGGTACTATGTGTAAGTATGTATATCGGCTAGAAAAACATTGACCACATGATACCGAGAAAAAAACAATCCCAAAACATTCCCCAACCAAGACTTCGAATTATATTCACGGACCATAAAATCCCATTTAAATACCTCTAGAAGATTAAGAATCTCTAAATAAAAGTGACAATAAAATGTAGGGTTGTAAATGTAAGGTCCTACAAAAAAGTCTTTTATCCAACCTTTTTTTACTGTCCTCTTCATTTTATGACAGGGATTAGGGATACCATGGGAAGGTTCCTTAAGTTGCACAATTTTATGGAACCTGTATAGTGGCGAGCAGATCTATTTACTCCAATCTGAAAATATTTTATTGGATTTTCAACCTTTTAGTGTTTTTAAATTAAAATAGAAATTCGATTGACAACATCAATTAACAAAATATTGAAAGATTTTTTGATAGAAGTTTAGCCGCAAATCAACCTACTCTTAGGTTAACCTGCGGTGGGTAATTTTAATTTACTATTGAGATATGTTAACAGTGTTTAGGTCACGTTGTTTCGCCGTGTGAGTGAGGTTACCGGAGGCTCAATCCTTCTTAGGAAGAGAGGGAAGGGGAGTTCCCTATTCTTAATTCTTAAATCCCTAATAACGGTCAAGAGGCCGGCAACGCACTTGTAATAACTCCCTTGAGATTCCGAGTGTCCATGGGCAGCGCCGATTACTTACCATCAGGTAATCCGTCTGCTCTTTTGCCGACCTATTCCATAAAAAATACTATACATTTAAAAACACTATATTACAATACTCTTTATTCTTAGCCTCGTCATTCAATAGAACCCTGGAGACTGGTACAGCTTTCTTTATAACAAACATACAATGCAATAAGGAACTTTACATTAATAGCAATATGGATTAATATAGAATAATAAGATGATATTTTTTTAATTATGTAAGTACATTCTCTTATTTTGTTTCTGAACTTTTTACGTTCAAGGTGTTCAATTGGAGTGGAGGTCGTCTCATGACATTTTTGCAAATTTAAAATGGTACTTCATTTTCATTGGAAAAAAACATTTAATCCTAATATTTTAACTGTCGGAGAGCCATGCTTCGGCCGGCATGGGTCGGCTCGACCGGCGTGATACCACGGCCTCACAGAAAACCGGCTATAATTCCCGAAACATTGGCAACGCGCTCCGTTGTTGCGAGTGGTCATAAGCGGCGCTAATTGCTTACCATGAGGTAAGCCGTCTGCTCGTTTGACGTCCAGTCTCCCTCTTGAGGACTAAAATCCATCCCGTTCCTTTTTCTGCTCCGGATCGAGACCGTGATTCATTGTTGCGCTTGCCCCCAAAACAATTTCTAAACATCGGCCCTTTTGGGCCCCATCTGTGGACTAGTAGGTTCCTGTTAAACTTTATTTTTATTTTGGATATCATTAATAATAATCTCGTGCTAAGAACTCGTGCAGTGAGGCAAAAAAACTTGATAACAAATATTTTTATTATTATTTGCCTATTCATTCTTATCTAGCTTACTTCCGTGTTTGTGTTCGGACTTCGATAAATTGGATTAGCTAATCGTTATTTTTTGTTCTGTATTAAAAATCTTGTAGATCGATTTCATGCTTTGGCACGAATGGGTCGGCTCGACCGGAGTGATGCCGAGGCCTTACAGAAAACTGGTGTGTAACAACCACAGCTTTGCCAGGCCAGTCACGCACTTGAAACTTCTTTGATGTGTCAGATATCCGTGGACAGCGCTAATTGCTTACCATCAGGTTATACGCACACTCGTTTGCCAGCCTTCTCTATAAAAAATAGTAATTTAGTACAATAAAAAAGTATGCTCTGCAGACCCCTAGGGTTCGCCTTTGAATCCTCCGCGAGAGTGCTCTTTCTCTCTCTTCTATCAAAACTAATATCAACCGATTGGCAAAAGGCAACAGTTCCATACATTCTATTAGATTTGTTTATTATGCCATCATAATATACTTGTTTTTGATGAATGCTTGTAACTTTTTCTTTGTTACAGAGTCAATTTCGCTTTTCAAAAGAGCGCCACTAAAATTGTTTGAGAACCACTGCCCTAGGTACTGATAATCTGTGAATTAATCTTTAGGATTAGTTAATCTATGGAGATTGATTTTACAACGTTATTTTTCAATCGTTCGTATGATAAATTTAAATAGCTGGTAAATGGTACCTATTCTTGATGATAATTGTGGATTGAAACGACGGATGACGCTTGTCAAATTGGAAGAGGATGGTGAAGCATACGAAAAAAACCGTTAACTTTTAAAATTGCTATAAGCATCATTACTAGTATTTAAGCGTTTTGTAATTAAATCAAAGTTATATAAACGTGTTTAAGATATACTTGATGTTATTTTCAAAGAATATTTTAATGTAACGAGTTGTGTTGTGTGTAAAAATTGTCTCATAGCGTGATAGATGGTTGCCGTGTCCTCAGGGATGTGATCGGCGGCGGTGATCTCTCGCGCCCGACCTTAATCTATCTCCTCCTTCTGCGAAGCAGTTATGCTCGCAAAGGAGAAGGTGGAGCGCGCGAGGGAACTATCCTCCTCGCGCCCCAGCCGCCGCAGAAGGCGACATTCCGGGCGTCGGGGATCGAGAGATGATCTCCGGCCACCGTAAGCGCGGGTCTGCGGACGGCCAGTAAGGGTAGCTCGCCGCCCGACCAGAACCAGACCCGCGCGCGCCTCAAAGAGCCAATAGGAATAGACCACCACAGACGGGGCCCTATAGGTCTGATGTTCAGCCGGGGTTGCGGGGTAAGCGCAATGAGGCACCGCGACCTCGGCCCAGAGCAGGAGAAGGAACAGGGGGGTTTTTAGTAAGTAAGAGTCTGACACTCCCTCCCGCCCGACCCTGGGCAGGAAAAGTCATTTGATGATTTTCCCCTCACAAAAAAAAAACGTGATAGATGGTGTTGCCCGATTAAAATTTGAGCTATGAGATAACTCGTTACAAATTTACAATAAAATATACTTTGAAAATAACATTAAGTAGGATCTTCAACAAAACGCCATATTTATTTGATGCTCCGTAAAGTCCAACGTCCATTGTGCCTGTCCTATAACATTGAGTACAGTTTTTTATTATTCAATACCAAATTCGATAAGTCTTTGTCCAACTTTGGGCCTTGTCCATAACAAGTAACTTTTTCATTATAATTACAATTTTACTCCAAGAGAAACATTGGGTAAAATTTATCAAAAGGTTTCCTTGGAATTTTGCTAAAGTACAATTTCCTTATTATTTTCATGAGAATAAGATTAATTCTCTCATTTTAAACACGAGGTCGTACTTATTACTGGGTACAAAAATTTGTACAAAATTCTTAGAAAAGTAACGACAGTTTGAGAAATGTTATATTATTTAATACTTCTGTACTGACAGTTTCGATGTCGAAATTAATAGCTTTATGCGTGATCCATAAGTAGTATTTGTTAATTTATACGTTTGAAAACGACCCATTACAAAGGCAAAAATGAAATTTACGATGGTCATGCCACTCATACCTCTAACCAATTAACAAACAAGGAAAACCAATATACACTATGTAGTTTTACCTATCCGTATAGTCAACAAATATTGTTATTTGTTTCCTTATTAAATAATTTTGTAAATATCAACGAAGTAAGATAAGTTATCATAAGTTGCTTTAGAAAAATAATCGTTTAGATAAACATACTCTGGCTCTTAGATTAGCGGTAGGTAACGCTGTAAAACAGCTGTGTCCTTGATGACGGGGCAATGACTCGTATTATCATACTTGGAGGGGGTAAACAACCAGCTGGGGTTACGGGAAGGAACGGGATGTTTTTAAACTACTTATTCTATAAGTCTTATTCGCCCCAAATAGGGCGAAAAAGTAATTCGATGATTTGACCTCCTCAAAAGGGGGTAGGCCTTAGAGATCTAAGACGTTACAAATCGCCAGTTTTGTAAGCCTTATGTAACAGAAAAAATTGTTGCTAAACACTGATTGCAAGTTTGCTAAATACTACTCAAGTTACACGGTAGTGGTGCAGGGTGGTGTTTAGTCAGTAAGAGTCTGTCACTCCCTTTCACCTCACCCTGGACAGACTGGAGAAGGTAAACGATGACTTCGTTTTCTAAAAAAGGTGATGTACCATTATTGTTCTCTATTAATTATACACATAACTTTTGCTGTAATTTTTTACGAGCAATTTTATCTGCTCGCAACCACGCTTATACCTTCTGAGAACATTGATTAAAATTAAATATGCTTTATTTTTGGATACAGATACCCACGTTAAATACTGAAAGAATTCCAACTGTTTCCGATTAGATTAGATAAATTTATATTTTAAGCTTAATCGATCAGGGGGCTGATATATCTAAAACTCACAATAAGAACTGAGTGCCTAGTTTGCTTTGTGTTGAGGCGATCGACTCATTTGTGACGTCGAGCGCTCTCATCTCTCCGAGCGCTAACGTTTCGATCTTGTTAAGATAATGCAAATTTGCACTTGCTACTATTTTAAGGACGATGATTTAGGTGCCAGACTTATGATTCCAGGCTTTAAAATCAGCAGCTGTTATTCGTCATCAACCATCCACAACCCTTGGCAGTGACTCCTGCACTAGGGGCCTTCTCCACAAATTTCACAAACGTGGCAGACAGGTCGCGAATTAATTTAAAAGGTTTGCGTTTATCGTAGAACGTAACTGCCCTGTCTGTCTCTGCCAAATGTAAAACTCGTTTAGCTTGCTCCCAGTAAAAGACCCTTAAGAAAAACGGGGCAGTACGCGCTCATTATTACATAGAAGCATTTATGCACTTATCAATTTAAATACTTGGTGAATAATATTTTCAACAACACAGGGCAATGCGCTCGTTTTGATAATATTAATGTTATTCAATTATGTATTACATTTTAACAAGGCTATTTAAACTGGTATATTATTATTCTTATTCAGTTTGAACGTTTCTCGAAAATACCCCGTGGTACTGTTCTGCTAGAACGAGATCTTCCTTTAAATAAAAAACTGCTACCAGTTACTGAAGACTCAATCTCCCAAACCCTAAACTACAGAAGACAGGCAAAGCACTCGGTGTTACGGTGTCGATTAATTACCATACGAGTAAGATAATCGTCGGCTCGTTTACCGACTTATCACATAAAAAAGAAGCCAATAGACCACCACAGACGGGGCCCTAAAGGGCTGATGTTCAGCCGGGGTTGCAAGGTAAGAGCAATGAGGCACCGCGACCTCGGCCCAGAGCAGGAGAAGGAACAGGGGGGTTTTTAGTCAGTAAGAGTCTGACACTTCCTCCCGCCCGGCCCTGTAGGACAACCACCAGCTAGATGTAGTGCCGATAGACGATCGCCAGCGTATTATTGGTGCGGCCTCACTTCAGGAATTGATGGGCTGATGATCATTATGATAGTAAGTATAACATAATTCTGAATATCATAGTGATTTAATTTTCACGTACAAGTAAGTCATAATGTTAACGGATTTTGTTCCAAATCCTACCTAATAATCTACGAAGCTAATGTAAATAGGGATCTTCGAAGCCCAAGTGCCCAATCGAAGGTCACATCATCGTTTCTTCATCTACCACTAAGCGTGCGCATAATGGTGAAAAGAATTTCGCACGATATATAAATAAAATCTTGTTTTCAAGATCGGCAGAATTGAATCCTCCAATCGCAGCTAAGAAATCTATGAAAACTGTCGACAATCGGTCAGTGAGATGATATTGCAATCAGGCAAAACAAACCAAGTTATTTATTTTACATTTATAACTTGTAATATCTACTGCAGTGATTCACGCACATGTGTCAGTGTTCATATAATCATCATAATTATTTTTATACCAGATCTTATTATATTGTAGGGAAAATAAATTGTGGATGTTATTTATTATATATATTTATTTGAACTTCCTGCACAATGGGTACATAGGCGAACTTATTGCCTTAGGCATTTTCTACCACTACATTATACTGCCTCGTTAGCAAAGTGGTATGTGATTTGACCGAAATCGAGCAGATGGATTACCTGATGTTAAACAATCGGCGCTGCCCATGAATACTCGCAACATTAGAAGTGTTATGAGTGCGTTGCTGGCCTTTTGGGGAGTGGGGTTTCGGAGATTTAGGGATTGGGAGAGGGTGAAAAGGATTAGGCTTCCAGTCATCCACCTCCTCCAGGTTTTCTGTGAGAATGTGGTTATTCCTCCATTAAAAGTCACTGGGAGGTTTTCGTAGAAATTTCCTTTAAGGGAGGACTTTTTAA